AATGATAACTCCATTCCTCAGCCATTGTATAAAGAAGTCAAGGATTATATTTCCAACCTTTTGGATAGAGTGTGGATCAGAAAGTCAGTTTCAGCATACTCCTCACCTGTTGTCTGCGTGCAAAAGAAAGACCACAGTCTGCATCTTTGTGTTGACTTTCGTGAGAAGTAAAACCACTCCTGATCGCCATCCACTACCACACATTCAAGATCTATTGGACAGTGTTGGAGGAAATTCATGGTTCTCCATTTTGGACCAAGGAAGTGCGTATCACCAAGGGTTTGTGAGTGAGGAGTGTTGAGATGCTTACCAAGGTCAAGTACACACTTACGCTTTTACACACATTACACTCATACTTTCACACGAAGGCCTTTGTATTTGTAACAGATACAGAAACTGAATCATCTTCTCACTCCCATCTCCAAGGAAATAGAAACTTAGGTGATGCAAAACATCGGATGACCACTGGGCGTGTTCTTAGATCATAAGCAACAAATCTTCCCGTTTTTTAAAGACATGCTGTATAGACTCGGGGGCTTTTTCACTTCTAGTCTGTGAGGGTAAGTGTCTTTTTTCAGCGTTAAAAAATAATAAAAAAAGTAAAGTCTGATTGCTTTGTGTTGGCTGATTTTCTGCTCCGTGTGCTTGCACGTATTTGGTCTCAGGTAGGAATACATGATTTCATAAAAGGAGTCAAGGCATCTGACAGCATTTGGCACACCTTAGGGTCTCTACGAATGGGTAACAATCCCATTCGGACTGACCAATGCACCAGCTGCATTCCAGAGATGTATGGAAAGTGTATTAAAGGCATCAGGGACGACTGCTGTGTACCTTATTTAGATGATGTCCTCTGTTACTCAACAACATTTAAGGAACACATGGACCATCTGAGACAAGTTGTCTTTTTTCGAGACAACATGGCATTAAAATCTGACCAGCCAAATGCGAGCTTTTCAAGAGACAAATTTGTTATCTAGGACAAATGGTTTCAGGAGAAGGCATCCAGATTGACCCAAAAGATTTGGAAGATGTGATAGCTCTGAAAGAGAAGAAACCTCACACAGTTGGAGAGGTTCGGACATTGCTCGGCTTCCGTAGTTATTATCGATTCTTCATCCAAGAGTTTTCATGACTGAAATCCTTCAAAGCTCAGCCAAGTAAAATCGACAAGCTCCAGACTTCTAAGGGTTGAGGTTGTAAAATGAAAGACAAGTCATACTCTCGAACACAGACTGTACAGTCCAAGCTCGTGGAGATGCTGATTAATCCACCCATCTTAGCATATCCCGACTTTGATCGTCCGTTTGTTTTGCATACAGATGTGTCAAATGAAGGACTCTTGTATCAGTCCCAAAACAACAAGCTGTGTGTTATTGATTACTGATCTAGGAGTTTAACACACAGATAGCTTACTATCATCTCCATTCTGGTGAGCTTAAGTTCCTAGCACTCAAGTGGGCCATCTGTGATAAGTTTCAAGACTATCTGCAGCAACTCTCATGGTCTATACAGATAACAATCCCCTGATCTATGTTTTGAGTTCTGCCAGGTTAAATGCTGTAAGTTGGCTGACTTCCACTTTGATATCAAGTATAGACCGGGAAAGAGGAATACTGATGCAGATATGTTGTTCAGATACCCTGTAGGCCTTGAACAGTACATGAAAGACCACACTGAAGTAGTATCAGTGTGGCAAGGCAACAAAGTAACACAAAACAATGATGTTCCCTGGATTGCTGCATTAAAACTTGCTGATGAAAATGATGAGGCTAACCTACCTGATGGTGTCATGACCATTATGCCTGAAAACATCAGAGCAGCACAACAAGAAGATACAGCTATTAAAGAGATTGTGTCATTGAAACAACAAAATTGGAGTCCAGATGAAAAGGATAAAAGAACAACATGTAAAGAAATGCTGTCTCTCCACATGACCACTTTATCTGTTGTATGAGAGGAAAAAGTTTGTTGTGGAAAATGGACTACTTTTCCGTAACACAGAACTAAACAAACAGCTGGTTCTCCCCGAAAAACTCTAATCACTAGTGTTAAAGAGCTTGCATGACGACATGGGCCAGGTCGGTCCTGACAAGGTGATCCATCTTGCTCGAGAACGATTTTATTGACCAAACATGCAACAAGATATTGAGGATTATGTGACCAAAAAATGCCAAGGTATTAAACATCCCAATGTCCCACAGAGAGCTCCAAGGGGATCCATCACAAATGGTGCACCATCTGAGTTGGTCTCTACTGACTATTTGCATTTGGAGCCAAGCAAAGGAGGATATGAGTATATCCTGGTTGTCGCTGTCCATTTCACTCGATTTGCACAAGCGTACCCAACGAGAAACGAATCCGGGAAGACAGTAGCTGAAACGATATTTGATACCCAGAGAAACTACATCATGATCAGGGACGGGAGTTCGAGAATAGCTTATTCCAGAGATTGCAACAACTCTCTGGAATTTCTCACTCACACACCTTTCAGTGGAGCGACTGAATCGTACTCTTCTCCAGATATTGTGCACGTTACAAGAGGAGAAAGAGTGAATGGAAAGATCATCTGCCACAAATCGTGCATGCGTATAATTGCACGAGGCATGAAGCGACAGGATACTCGCGTCTACCAGTCGATTTGCTCTTTGGCACCAGGAGAGAGACTGAAGACTGCAACCATCAAACCTTTGTTAAAAAGTGGGCTGAAAGGATGCGTGTGGCATACCAAATAGCTGCCAACAACAGTCAGAAGTCTTCAACTAAAGGTAAAAAGTAATAAGACAGACGAGCCAGAGGTGTCACTCTTCAGGCAGGTGAGAGGTTAAAACCGTCTCAGAAAGGGGAGGTCCAGGTAAACGCCACTTATACTGGGAGCAGGCGGTGTACCGTGTGATTGAAAGAGTGGGGGATGGACCTGTCTATAAAGTACAGCCAGAGAGAGGTAGCACAACCATGCGTGTGCTTTACCGAAACCTGTCAACGACCTACCTCTGGAGGATGAACTTCCTGTGAGAGAACAGACAAAACAAAAAACTAAGCAACAAACTGAAATGCATGACTCTGATGATGAAGAAGAAAAGTTTACTTACCATCATAACCTCCAGAGGAGAATCCCGTGTTATAAATTTGTAAACCCACAACTACGGTCAAACCAAACGCAAAATCCTGAACAAGAACGTGTGACAAGACAGAACCAAGGAAATCAAAATAACCTGCGTGCAACTGCTGAAGAGTTCTGTCCCTCTGAAAGAGAAGCAACTGCCAGCAAAATAAATACTGCTGAAACTGAAATGTGTGAGATCAGGATCAGATGGAGATGGATGAAACCAGAGTGGAAAGGGATGTAAGAAGATCGGAGAGAAAAGGGAAACCAACAGAAAGACTAGCATATGAGACACTTGGCCAGCCATCATATAGCTGTTGGAGTGCAGGTGTTAGCCCGCTGCTATTCAACCAACCCTTTACAAATGACACCTGGTGTACTAACAATTCCCTATGTTCCATATCCACATCTGTATCAGCAGAACACTCCCATTCAGTGAGACTCACAAGAAATTGTTAAACTGTCAGGAGACATTTTTTTAAGTGAGGGAGAGTGTAGAAGGGTGAAAAATAAGTTATTAGTAAATAAAGACAATAAGTAAGAAAATAGGCACCCCAACATAATTTTCATTTTGTATCTTTTAATTTCTTGTTGTAATTTAGCGTTATTTCAGTTAGTCCATGCAATTCTCCACATGACCACTTTATCTGTAAGATGGTGTTTCCTTATCAAAAATCAGCGACATTCTCGAGATTCGTAACTAATGGCTGTTTATGTGGAAAGGTTAGTAACGAGACACACCATTAAAGGAGCATTACGCCTTTTCAGTTTTGTTTTTCTTTTTGTAACAGATTACTGTTGTCCTGTAAAGCCTTCACCTTCCTAGACTCCAGTAGTTATAAGATAAGATGCTTAAATAGTAAAGTATATTTTATCTGTGTAAAAGAAAAGTTGTAAAAGTTGTTAAAATAGTTGAAAGCAAATTTATGTACTTTTATTTTGATTGTTAAAAAGACAAAAGATATGAAGTACTGAATATGGAGTATGTTTATTATAAAGAAGACTAAATCTTCCGTTGGATGTTGATGGAAGCTCAACGTGAGTCTCATCTTTTCTGTGTCACAGCATCACACCTTGGAGGAAGATCATTTTTACTACTTTACAAATCTAATTCCTTGAATATGCAGGGGAAAATATGCTCCTTGTAACTGAACTAAATGTACAATATTCATTCACAGAAAACTGGTGAGTTGCGGTTTCCCATCATTTTGATTCACAATAAGATATTTTCATAACGCTAGCACAACAGTTAGACGTGCTTTTGTAACCCTAACGAATAAATATACTTGTTATTGAGGGTTATGATATATCTAGTGGTAGCAGAGTATTTGTTTGTACTTACTGTTGCGTCTTACGAGAAAAGAATCTGGTGCGGTTAACTTTAGCAGCTAGCTTCAGTGGTTCCTCTTCCAGTAGGTATCCTTGTTATAGTCGGTTTAAAGAAAATATAACAGGTTGGTTTCCTATTCAGTAGATGCATAAAGGAACAATTTAATGAAAGAACCTCAAAGAAAATGAAGAAAATTACAGAACCACGTCCTTCATCGGTTCTACCACCTATGTGGCTAAAATGGTGCTGCTGGGATGACTTGGGCAAGAAAATGGAGAGAGAGATATGTTCAATGTATGTAGGAATATAGAAACCGCACATGAGATTGAAGTCACTTCCGACAGCATTTTTTTGGTATTTTAACTTGTCTCGTAAAGGATCTCGCAACTAAGTTTGTTGTTGTTATGTGCTTAAATTAAATCTAACAAAGTTTGAAATAGTTTTTTTTTTGACGTTTTACTAAAATATCTGTTCACATATGAAGGTCGAAATTCCAACTGTCGTGTTTTAATAGAATGTAGCATTGATGACGGATCACTAGCGTCACGAACACGTGACATCTTGACTGCATTTGCTTTCTGAGCGAAATGGCTGCCGTCTCTGTGGTGGAAGCATTCTCCAGTACAGATCCTATTGCAGAAGGACTTCTCGAACTCATCAAACCTGCAATCCATCAGCTCGATTTACACGTCCACTCAGTCAGGTAAACTGGATTATAGTTTCTGACAATCACGTGACAACTCAGTCTAAAATAAATCTAAATTAAACCCCGTTTACAACAGTAGTATACTCGTTATTCACGTTATATGTAGTTTTTGACCGTAAAACGCAGACCGTTCTATATGGCCAGGAATTTAGCGCCATCATCATCACTGTTGTTTATATCTCTCCTAGTGCCAACATTAAGGAGGTGCTCCAGTGCTCTAGGGTGTTTTTATTGTTGTTGGAGACTTCAATCAGGCTAATATGAAAAAAAAGTTCCCCCTCATTTCCAGAAGCATGTGAACTTTGCAAGCACATGCTCACTGGATTGAACCTACACAAATATTGAGGCAGCAACCCACCCCCACCGCGGCTCATCAGACCATCTTTCTGTAATGTTAATTCCTGCATATAAGCCCCTGCTCCTCAGAGGAAGCACGTGGGAGTCTGACCTGCAGGATCCATGTCAGCATTTTCGGGCTGTTTTGAATGCATGGACTTGGACATGTTCAGGAAAGCTGCAACTTTAAACAGTAACACCAATATTGAGGAGTATGCCAAATCTGTGTCTGCGTACATCCTGAAGTGCATGGACGATGTCACTGTGACCAAAATCATCACCACCAGGACAAATCAGAAACCATGGATGACAAAGGAGGTCCGTGAGCTCCAGAAGTCACAAAATGTTGCTTTTAAATGTGGGGACAGAGGTCAGCCAGAGCCAACTTGAATCACGTCATCACAGTTGCAAAACGTGCTTATGGTAAGAAAATACAAAAATTTTTCGATGAGTCAGCAAACACCACACACTAGTGAGGACAGAACAGACTTTCTGAATGCACTTAACACCTACTTTGGTCGTTTTGAAACCCTCAACAACACTCCTGTGAGAAAATCCACTCCTCAACCAGGTGAAGAGATTACGCAGTTTGAGACAGCTGATGTTCTGAGGACCTTGAGAAGAGTCAAAATGCACAAAGCAGCAGGCCCTGATAACATACCAGGTCTGGTTCTCAAGAACTTTGCTGACCAGTTGGTTCATGTCCTCATTGACCTATTTCACTCCTCGCTGAGCTGTTCTGTTGTTCCATCCTGCTTCAACACTGCCATCATCATTCCAGTGCCCAAAAAACCCACAATTGAGTTACACTCACTCCCATCATGATGAAGTATTTTGAGAGGCTGGTGAAGGAACACATCATCTCAAAACTTCCCTCCTCTTTTGATCCGCTCCAGTTTGTCTGCTGCGCCAACCGCTGCACAGAGAAAGCTGTTTCCACCACACTGCACGTGAGCCTGAAACACCTGGAGGAGAAGAATACTCGTGTGAATGCTGTTTCTGGACTTCAGCTCAGCATTCAACGCAATCATCCCCCAGCATCTGGTGAGCCTTGGGCTCAACAACCCCCTGTGCAACTGGCTGCTGGATTTTCTCACAAACAAACCCCAGTTTGTGAGGGTTGGTAAAAAAGCTTCAAGGGTCATCTCCCTCAGCACTGGCTCCCTCCAAGGCTGTGTACTGAATCCACTGCTCTTTACTTTGATGACCCATGACTGTTATGCCAGGTTCAGTATGAACCACATCATTAAATAGTGGTGGGTCTCATTGGGGACAACAACGAACTGGCCTACAGAGAGGAGGTGAAACATCTGCTGGGCTGGTATAATGTAAACCTTCTAATCCTGAATGTCAATAGAACAAAAGAAATTGTTGTTTTCAGGAAAAATCACCCAAGTCACCCAACCATCTTCATCTGTGGAACAGGTCAGGGACATTAAATTCCTGGGGATACAGATTGCTGACACTTTGACCTGGTCCCTCCAAAGTCTCTGGTCTGGTGAAGAAAGTTCAGCAACATCTACACGTTTTATGTTGGATGAGAAGAGCAAGCCTCTCCCCTCCTATCCTCACCATTTTCTATAGAGGAACAATAGAGAAGACACTGACCAGCAGCATCTCTGTCCTTTTTGGATCATGCAACACCTCTTGACTGGCGACGCCTGGAGAGAGTGGTGAGGACAGCTGCGAAAATCATTGGGACTGAAATTCATTCCATCCATAACACAGCTCACAGTCACTGCCAGTCCAGGACTGGGGCAATTATAAAAGACCCCTTAAACCTTCAGCATTGTTTGTTCTCCCTACTGCCCTCTGAGAAAAGGTTCAGCAGCTTCAAATGCAGAACTACCACATTCTACAACAGCTTAATCCGTCATTAGTTCAACCTTTTATTATATACATTTATATTGATCATTTTATTATTACTTATTGGAGCCTTGCAACAAAATGTCTTTCAATTTGTAAATTTTTAAATGTACAGTTGAATGACAAAACAATCTGTCTGTCTGTCTATATGTATATACATACAATTTCCTGTTTATTGACTGTTCTCACAAATGTCTTTTGCAGAGAAAGCCAGGTGGAATTAAGAGAACATATAGACAACTTGGCAACGGGTAATCTTTAATTGTAAAATAACACAAAACTGTACTATTAAAGCGCCAGTGTACTGTTTTATGAACAAAAACAAAATACTTAATGCTGACAATGAGACAAAGATTATGTAATTATTTTATATATTTTTGTATGTGCTTCACAGAGTTATTCAGAATAAATGAACACCAGAAGATTGCACTAGACCTGGATCCTTATGTGAAGAAGCTACTTAATGCGAGGCGTAGAGTGGTGCTTGTGAACAATATTCTACAGAACGCTCAGGTTAGTGCCTGGCCTTGGTTTTGGACCTTCTTTTTCTTGACTAAACCTCTTCCATACTGACAATAGACCACCAAAAGTCAGTAACTCTTACACACATGCAGTGAGCAAGTATAGTTTTTATGGAGCTGAAACCTTTATTTTTCAATTTTAAGAACTCCATTTTGTGTTCATCAACAGTACAAACATATAATTTATCTGCCAGCGAGTACAAAAGAAATAGTATTTCTCTTGTCAGGTTGTGTTCCTGTATTAATACAGGGTTGATAAGTAATTAATTCTAATAAGGGTAAGTTGGAATGGTAAGAGGAGCATGTGGTAATAAAAAAAAAAAAAGATTCAATAAGTTTATACATTTGGAAGACCAATCTGGCCAACTTTTAACTTCCTGGTTGGTGTCTTTAGATGTCATTTCAATATTTCTACAACGCCAAGCATCTTATGAAGTTTACAGGTTCCTTATGCAGCAATACAGCCTGACAACACAATGCTGCCACCCTACACTTCTGAGTTAGGAGAGTAAATGAATCCAAATTTCATCCAAATTGCCTATAAGAAATTTCTAGATCTGGTATCAGTGACAATAGACTAATCTATTAATTGTATTTCTATGCCTGAGCGTAAATGATAGTGCTGCACCACCACGGCAAAATAAAAGCCTCGCACATTCAGAATTAAACGTTTTGTTGTTTCTTTTTGATGTTAAAACAATGTAAAAATTGACATGCATATGGTTTACACATTTATACTAGCCAAAGCAGCCATAAAGGTAAAACTTTAGTTTTTGTCTACCTGCACTGAGCAGAGGGATAGCTTAGAATTGAGTATTATATGAAGTGTTATTGGGTATTTACATGGTTTTACTTTGGCTTTGAACAATAAGTTTCAAGTTTAATGTAAGCACCTTGCTCATTAACATCTCCAACACTTTACTGAATCTGTGCCAGTGTTCTGATTATCTGTGCTGCCTATCAATCCGTCCAACATTGTGGTAATGCGAAGCACCGACCAGTAGACAAATCTATCTAGATGCGCTATGTTAGGAAAATCTAACGTAGACAGTCAGATAGTCAGAGCAATGGTTCTATGCCATGAATGGCAGGACTCAAATCTCAGTCAGTGAGAGTCTTGAGTTGTTTTTTATGACTTAACTTGCTGATAATGCTCTGCACACACATCAACAGCTAATGTTGTTTTTATTTAATCTTAAATTATTTAATGGCAAACACAATAGATAAATGAAATTGACAATGATGGGTGGATAATTTTTATATTTATATTTCATATTGCATATTCGGGCATTTTATGTTTCTTTTGAAGTAAATGCTTCCTCCTCACTGAGAGGCCATGATTGTACAGGACATATTTCACCATCTTGTTAGTATCTTCACAAGGTTTCTTGTCTTTTTGTTTGTTGTTCTGTTATAATTTTGGACCAAAATATATTCATCTCGGGGACACAGAACCCATCTCCTTGAGCGGTATAATTTCCATCATGTCTCTACTTGAATTTAGTTGCCTGTATAAATGCAGCACCTTCAAACATCTGGAAATTGTTCCCAACAATGAACTATATATGTACAGCTTCACAATTCTCTGCCTGAAATCTTGTCTGATTTCTATTGTCTTTCTAATTGTGTAAAACAAGACACCAATGTGTTCCAGCTATAGCCTTGAAAAATTAAAATAACTCAAATGTGCCATTAAAGGTTAGTGGAAGGAAACACAAAAGGTTTGACCTTTTGTGTTGCAGTTAGTCATTCATTTAAAAATACAGTTATCCCTAATCCTCACACTAAAGCTAGAGGCAAAAAAATCTCAGTAGATTTTCCAACATTTAAAAAACTAGAAATAATTTTTGTAATTCTAACTTACCTAAAACAAGAAAAGCTTGGGCTGATTTTGCTCAGACCCGCATGTGTCATTTTATCCAATGTATGTAAATATCTAGTTTCAACTGTGCCATCTTGCCTACAATTATGCAGGACAGGGAAGTGACATTTTTAAATCATATATTTTTATAAATGAGGATTTAATTCTCCACTACTGACCTAATTAAAGATGTTATTGGATAGTAACATGGTAATTAATCCAATTGTTTGCTCTTAGCAAGAAATAACCCTGTGCCTTTAAAATTTTACCATGGTATCTAAAATAGCATTAAGTATTTATTTTAATATTGGTATCAAGTTTGAGATTTTTGCATCATCCAACAATTTATACGTTGTGAGAGTAGCAGTCTAAACAGGGAGACTCAAGCTTCCAATTCCCTAGCGACTTGGGCCAGCTACTTCTGGGGAATCCCGAGGCATTCCCAGGCCAGCTGAAAAACATGTCTTGGGTCACCCCACTCTCCTCACAATAGGATGTGCCAAAACACCTCACCAGGGAGGTGTCCAGACCAGATGTCCAAGCCACCTCCTCTCGATGTGGCGAAGCACCAGAAGAATAAATTTCATAAGCCAGTTTATTATGACTTTAGACATTCATAGTATTCATGACTAGCAACATCATTGCTATAAATGACAACTACTATATATGTTGACATTTTTAAATGCTGTAATTTTTTCTACTTTAATTGCAGGGTTTACTTTCTTTTCTCATTCATCTTCTCCATCATTTTACTTTAGAGATTAACTGCCCAAGGAGTTGTGAAATATAGACTAAATAAATACTCTGTTTACAGGAACGCCTGAGAAGGCTAAATCACAATGTGGCCAAGGAGACAGCACGAAGGAAGACCATGCTTGAAGCATCGGGAGTGTTCACCCCTCGCTCACCTAGTAAACCATGAGCCCTGTTTCCACTGCGCTGCATGACTTGTCCCACTGAGGCTAGTTTAAACTAGAATTAGAATTCAAATACTCAGTGTGCCCATCTCTCTAGAATATTAAGATGTGTTTGCTGAAGAACTTGATGTTGTCTTGCATTGCTTTGTTTTTGTCTTCAAATTAAAAATGTGTTTAAAATGAGCACAGAATAATATCCGTAACAACTATTTAAAACCCCTTATGTTTCTCATTGTAGTAAATTTCAAAAATTGTTTTCAATGAAAGTGTCAATAGTGTTTCCATTGAAAGGTATGCACAATGGTAATGTTAATTTTTTTAAATACCTCTAAACTTTTGATTTGGACCCAGACTTTCTGGGTTTGAATGGCAGTATTGAGTTTAACTATGGCCACATAAAATTGAGGGTTTCCTGGGGTCTATACGTTTTTTGTTGATTAACAGTACCTTTGTAAAAGTGTATGCTGTATGACAGGAAACAAACAGTAGTGATGATAAGCTGCTTGTGTTGCTAAGAGTTGCTGTTTGTGTGTGCTGTTTATTGTAAGTTGGAATCACTTATCATTCCTGGGTATTCCAAAAAATAGTTTGTCAAATAATGTCTTTTCAAAATAACAAATTTTTCAGAAATGTGATTGTGCCATGTTTGCTAGTTGAAAGTCAAATGGGAGGCAGATCTTCTAGTAGTCAGACTTTCCTCCTATGGAACCATGATCCAATTTTCTACTTTTCAGACTAAGCATAAAACCTTTTGTTTTACAAAAGCATACTGTTAGAGTATCTTATGTTATCCTGATCTACTTCTATAGGTACTTTTAGGCTTGTACTGCTATACTTTTGAGCACTTTTCCTTGTCCTGCTACTTTTTGTAATACACAGTAAAAGATTGTTGTTATAAGGAAATAACTTGATGCAAAAAATCTTCATTTAAATAAATTGGGGCTATTTGGATAGAAACAAAATCATAAATTAGATCATAAACTAAACTTAACTCCCCATTATTTTATAAATGGGATCAATGTAGTAACATTGATCAGTAACAAACTGATCAATTTCAGTTTGTTACTGACGGTGACTGGATTAAGTTTATTTCTGTTCACAAACAGAATTTTGATTTGGTGAACTGTTTTGAATTGGTATGTTTAATTTATCTGTATTTGAAAATATAAAAAGCGGCCATAAATGACATTTCAGTTATTAAAATTTTGTAGATGAATGACTACTCAGCTGTTAGATTTAAAGTTTTCTGCCATGTTTGTGATTTTTTTTTTCCAATTTTTATTTCTCATCGATGTTTGATCCAATTTAGACAGTTGATCAAACATGACACAAGAACGGCGATTCTAGGTTTTGTACCAATAAAATAAAGGTATCTTTATGTCAACGAAACTCTTGGTGTCAATATGTGATGGTGAAGTCTTAAGGATTATTTCGCGATTGGGAAGTTATTGTCGTCAGAAGTGCACAACTGCTGTTCCCAGTTGGTGTCAGCCCGTCTGCATAGGAACGAGCCGACACCGCCTCCTTTTGGCTTAGAGTAAACATTTCTACTACTCCTTTCTTTTTAAGGACATGGATAAACATAAAGACATACCTCCCATGTCAATTACATGTTGTCTCCTACCAGATTCGGGTTCACACAGAACCAAATTCCAGAAGATGTTTTTTTCCACATTGGCCATAATTTCTTTAATTTGATGTGATTCTCATTTTTTCCCGCTCAGTTTCTGTTGCTTTGCCTGTTGGGGGCAGTATACAATCTAACAACAAGGTCTGCTACCGGAAATTCAGAAAACGTTTCAACGAAGTGTTTTCATCGTGCAGATTCTCTTCAGAGAGGGAGCTCGAAACCAGCCATTACTGGACCAGGACTAAAAGGACCAGGCAGCACAACCAGGCAGCCTTCTCCAAGTAGCATTAACTGTCCGTAGTTCACAGCCAGCCAGGTAGTCCCAGGCCCGGAACACCATCATCCAAAATGGACTCCTGGGTCCGGTTCAACACCCAGAGTCAGGCCAAGGAAAGAGTTTTGAGGTAACACGGTCAGTGTTGTCAGCATTAAAGAAGCGGGGCCCGTTAGCTACAAGTTGTCCATTCTCAGTTTTATTTTAGTATATTTTGTGTATGCGTCTGAAGTATATTTTGGGGAGTTGTTGTATGCCTCTGTGAGGTGCTTAAATGAATACTGTAAATCGGAATATAAATAAACATTTACATTTAACAAAGTTTAGATAGCGGTCGGAGGGACAAAGCCAATAAAAGCCCCGCCCCTTTAGCATCTCAACACTGTGCTACGCTAAAAGGCTTTGGAGGAAAACAAACTCAGGGCCGGCCCAAGCCTCCATGGGGCCCTAAGCAAAATTTGGTTTTGGTGCTCTCTATTTCAGTTTCTAATGTGGATTGCTGCAGTCAACAGTCAGACGATTAGGTCATTCTCACACCTACTGTAAACCCATTGCATCAGCAATGGTGTGCTGTTTACATTGTGTCCTAGTCCATATATCACAGTGATATATGGATATATAGGGTTACTTGTGGTAGTAAAAAGAACAACAACAACAAAAAACATAGTATGCTCTGTATTTTAGATGGATAAATATATACGATAAATTTTGCTGAGCAATTGTCTCAAAAATTATTGCGGTAAACGATAATATTGTTTATCGCAATAAACAATATTGAAGTTTAAAATGAAGACCATTTTAAACTGATGTAATGGTAATGACATAGTAATGCAAACATCCTGCCAAAAATAAATAAATTTTATTAAAAAATAAAACACTTCACACTGGAACTGGCAAACAAATAAACAAAGAAATGCACTTGAATAAAAATTAAACACAACATAAAATCAAAGTGGAAATAAAAACTACATTCAACCAAAAAAGTGTAGATTATGAACTCTATATACTATATTGCCCTTCGATAATCATTAGATTGAGATAAAGATGGGCATATCTGATGCAATAGTTCACTCCTCCCTTACACCTAAGAAATGAGGAAGGGAGGGGTCAGTGGAGAGTGACAGGCCTATGGATACATATTCATGTGTGTATTCATATGCACATGATTATACTTGATTCCTGTTGGAATTAGGCATAATTCCAGTAGCTAAAAATTACATTAATACCAGGTGAGTCTTTCTCACCTAAGAATATGGAGAGGTACTGAGCTGATTCTGGGCCTTCAAATATTTTTAGCAGTTCTGTTAGAGAAGTTTCACATAATTTATAAATTGATGTAAAAATAATGTTTGTTTTAGCCACATAAATTATCATGTGCAGCAGCAAACAACAAATCACCAACTACAGCTTAAAGTAGCTCATGTCAATGTAGTAGCCAGGTAACCTCATACAAAAAGATTTAACTACACAATGTCAAACATTGAGAAATTGTAATTATTGTCATCACACTTGATCAAGCATGCTGTCCTGAAGCCAGTAAAAAAACTCAGAAATATATAGGGCCAACAATAAGTACCAACTCATCTAAAGTTAAAACTCAGTTTCACACAAATAAGAAGATGATAGCATAAATTCTTAGCTGTTGCTTTTGATAAACATTACATTACCGGATAAACTGTCCAGTGTGACCCTGCCTCTTACCCATTGACTGTTGGAGTTGGGAACCAGCATATGTGTATATTATGCATAATATGTCTATGTTATGCATAATATGTCTATGTTATGCATAATATGTCTATGTTATGCATAATATACCTATATTATGCTGGTGACATCCATTTGCATGAGACATCCAAACTTCTATCTTGTTTTTTTTACTACTCTTTCCCTTTCTTTTCTCTGTCCCCGAAGGATAAGTCTTTTTTTGCAAAATAGTTTTGCTTACATGTCTTCCACCAGAGCTTTTGAAGTTTGGTTGCATTTACATGACAGCTCATATTACCCATGAAGTGTGACCTATCGAGACCCCAAGAACAATTTATTTTTTCTTTTTGCCCATACAAAGAATGATTTCTACAAAGTTGTATTAGAAATTGTTTTTTTTAGAACTATATATATTTGTTCCATCTCTCTAAAAGCTAATTTCAAACCAAAACAAATAAAAACGTATCTAAATATTACTGTACTGTAGGCACCTGTATGGATAAAGCAGAAAGTAGAAGCACTTCAATGTGAAAAAAATTTACTTTGATTGATAAAGTACCGGCATGCAGGGGGTGGAAAGTAACTAGTTGTAATTGCAATTTGTCTGTACTTTGTAGTTTGTTTACAAAACCTGAACTTCTCAGTAAAGTATTTTACTCAGAATCATACATTACATTTGAATCATATCCATCAACTTCATAGATGTAGTGAAAAATGCAGAGGATTTGGTGTGGGAGAAGTTGATCTGCTGACAGAAGATTATTGGAAATTCATGTCCCTTTAAAATTACACACATTATATGTTGCATTTACAAATTTGCTTGTTTACTAAAATAGTTTTAGACCAATATGTTCTCATTTTCTTTGTGATCAGTGTAACTTTCTGCTCATAAGAAAGTAGCCAACTTACTTTAAACTAAAATATTAATGAGGCGCTTTTTTTCGTTTGATTAACTGCAAGCTTTATCAAAATAGCTGTACTTTACAACCAGTGTTGTATGAAGCTTTTCTCATTCTGTATATGTAAAAGTTTCATAGGATAGGCTTCTGGAGGGTATTCCAGAAAGGTCGTGTAACTCAGTCTCGGAAAACCCTTAACTTCCACAGCAGCTGATATTAGAATATTTTATCTTACAATTAAAACTATCTATGGTATTAAGAATGTGTAGCTGCTCATTTTCTTCATATGCTTGTGAATCCATTTTTAAAGTATTAAAAAAAATTTTTTAATCCTGTTGATTTAAAATTTGGCTCAGTTTTAATCTGTGGTCATGCTTCTTTAATTTGGTATGAAGAAGTTCTTGCCTGAGAAATAGCTTTCTGCTTACTGGCTGTTTTTTCATCCACCACAGGGCTGCACAGTATGCTTGCATGTTGTTGGGGTACACTCTGCAAAAAAGCAGTGCAGCCGCTGACCTCCAAAGAACTATCAGTCAACTGGAAGCACATATGAGCCTGACAAGAAAGTGTAAGTGTAAAAATCCAGTATGAGTTTTAGTACAGAAGCTCTGCCGGTTCTGACGTGTGATGTTCCACAGTGCTGCGTCTGGGGAACTCTGTGGAGGCTCTGCAGGCAGCCAAGACTACCATCCACCTTTCTGACAGTGTTCTGAGGCTGTGCCTTACCATTGGTCACCTAAACAGAGCCATGTACTTTGCTTGTGACAATGTTCTGTGGGCAGGGAAAATTGGCATATTTTCCAAACTTGATCAACATAAATGGAATCATAGATCTTTCAGGTAAGTTACATATTACTTTTTCTGTGAGTTTTTCTCTGGATTCTACAGTTTCACGATATAAAACTATCTGTAATTGATATGTTCATAGCAACTTTTATATCCAAAGCAAACAATTAATTTAAATAATCTCTTCAGTGATACAGAAATCATCTGTTTAAAAAAAAAATCAGAAAGTTAAAGCCTTTTAAAATGACACAAATATGTTTAGGGCCAGTTTGAGGATGAGTCTCCTCTGTTAGATCAAGTCTTTCACAGCTTGCCCTGTGTTTAGCTCCATCCATCATTCTATCAGGCATATTTACCAGGAATAGGCATTCAGGGCTTTCTGGGGCAGTTTGCAGCTGAGTGTGAAGCAGCCAGGACAAGGATCTCTAAATCCAAGACTATTGTCTTTTGATGAAAAGGGGTAGAGTCTCATTTTCAGGTCAAGGTCCTGCCCCAAGTGGAGGACTTTAAATATCTCTGGGTCCAACTTTGTGAATCACACAAATCAGGTCAAATCAGAGTGGGAAATCGCTAGGCGAATTGGTGCTTTGATGTGGTTAAAGTGAAGAAAGCTGAGCCAAAAAGCAAAGCTCTCAATTTAAATTTTGAAAAATGGGTAAATTGAAACAGTTTAACAACAGGTAATTCATGGTTCCTTTCAGTGACGCAAACATGTTTAAAGTAATGTAGTAATGTTTTTTAAATACCTATAGTCTATAGTGAGGCTTGAGTCAGTGCATCTGAATGAATGTTTTAGGATCAGATATGATTTCTAAATGTCTGAATATGAAATCCTGAAAGTTGTTAATTTTTTGTCGTATGTATATATATATTTTTAATTTCATTTACATATGTATATGTGTTCATATATTAACATTCAAAACTTTTGTCAACATGTGACATGTTCATCTTAAACTGTAAATGAAAAAAATAAACATAAATGTACAATTGAAACATATGTGTTGAACTTGACAGGTACTACCTATTTGCTCTGATTCTCAATGTCACTCGAGACGTGTATGAACTCTGCCTGCTCCTGGACTGCGAGAATTGTTACAGAAGTACCAAATCACCATTGCCTACTAGTTCCAGCAGTGCCATCCCTACTGACCAACTGTCTTCATCATCATCTTCTTCTTCCATTCCAGTCACTGCGACTCCTGCTGTCATGTGTGTATCGCTCTGCAAACGCATCCATCAAGTAGGAATTGTCCTGTACAATAACCCACCTCTCCTGTTGGACCTGCTAAAGAATGGCTGTGATATTTTTATTCCACTGGACAAGCTGGGGATATATCAAACAGGCCCAGGCTTTGTTGGGACTTGTGGGTTGCTCTCATCAGTCCTCTCAATTGCCACCATGCTCCACCCATGGCTGAAACTCAAGCCATGAACCCAAATAAATCAGACACAACAGGTCATTGCACCAAATTCTGTGAAAGACAGGCTGTCCTGCCATCACGGCTCTAGTTATGGTTCCATCCAACAGCAGGTGAAAAAAAACACATGTCCTTGCTCCATCTGGGGCCAAATATATTAAAAAAGATACCAATAAATGCATAGCACTGAATCGTGCACACACAGCAGAAAAGTTTGACAGTTTAAATGTTCATTTTTTATTGGTTCATTTGTTTATTTGGCTGTAGTAAAGATGTATATTGGAAAATATACATTTTTACAAAAACTTGTAATACTATATCAGAAATATAGTTATAGTGTCCAAACATACATAAATCACATAGCAGCACATATACACAGGAGTTTGTTTTTCTGTCTACAGCACAGTAATTAATCTCACTGGACAATGTGACTTTCTCTTTAAAATGTGCTGAATAAGGTGAATGGCTTTGTTGGAAATTTAGTTTACCATCTGACCCTTATTGCAGTCTAAATTTCAGTTTTTCAAATAATTATCATATACTAATATCCGAGAAATATGGTATTTCACTAATGTGAAATAACTAGTGTATCACTCACATCATTCACATTGATGACTTTTAACTCAATGTGAAACTAAAGCATGTTAACAAGATGCATTGTCTATTATTTCTCTTCCTTGTGGTTGTAATGTGGTTGTAATGTTATGTTATATAAAGTACCCACCCTCCCCTTATGTTTTTTCTAGAGGTTAGTTTGTCAATAAGGGAAAAAAAATTGGGTCTAAAATTTGTTCAGACAAAAGTAAAAGATTTCAAACGTACATCCTGGTGTTGGACTCAGGGTCTTCGACCTAATGACCTCAGTAAATACTTTACTGTGATTTTAAAATACATTTGTTCAATGTTAAATCTTTCCTTTTTATTTAATGTGAGCCATGAGCCATTTTGGTTGAAAAAATTTTCCACCCAGGACTCAGACTATGTTTCAGCCAAGGAAATAAAATCTTGGCTCCAGAATAAACACTTCAAGGTCATGGAATGACCTGGCCAGTCTCCTGACCTCCATCCCATTGAAAATCTATGGAGAGCTGAAGCTTGGGGTTTACAAACACACGCCTAAAAATCTTAAGAATTTGGTGACAGGCCAAAATTACTCCTAAAGTGTGTGCTCTCCTAAAAAAACAAAGACTACTGACTGCTGTTCTTTCCAACAACGGTTTTGCCACCAAGTATTAAATGATGTTTCACTGGGGGGGTCAAATACTTATTTCCTTCAATATAATTCAAATTATGTTACATTTTTTCTCATTTTATGTAATTGTCTGCTTTTCTTTTGATATTCTGTGTCACTGTAGGACAATTCTGATATATTTATATATGTAAAATGTTTCATCTTTTGTGTACATTTTTTTAAAGTGGGGGATCAAATACTTATTTCCTTCATTGTAAGTAAACATCCAAAAAAGTTGAACAAATATGTCAAGAATATTTTTATGCATTTCCATTAGACTTTACTTTTGCCTGAACTGATATATTTCTAACAGATAAATCCTAAGTTTCTCTTAACTTAATTTATGTAACTGGAGCACAACACAGTGTAACATTTCTGACTGGAAGGTTGACAATTTGGACAGGACTAACAACCAGAGAGAGGAAGAAGAGGGAGGCTGATTGGGAGCAGTGAAGAGGTAAACAGGAAGAGGCAGAGGAGTTGATTCCAGTTCCCATCTCACCGTTGTGTGGTAGTTTGTAATGTAAAGATTTGTGTCCCTTTACAGGATGACGGTGAAGTTCCTATTACCTTTCTCTTCATTCCTCAACCCCAATGAGGAATATTTTAAATTTTTTTCTCAGCATGTGGAGATGGAATTATGGAGACCATTTTCCCTAAGGATCTTATGTTCCCATTTTTACTTTTTTGTGTTTTTTTCCCCCTTTCTATCAATGACATGATCTGTCAAATTACTGAACAAAGAAAAAGTGAATGTGAATCTTGTCATTAATCTACAATTACAATTTACAATACTTTACAAAAGAATGTTATATGTTGCATAGACAATATATAACAGTGTATATATTGTCAATGTATTGACAAGATGACTAATCAATTTGTATTTTTCCACAATACAGGAGGGACTTACTCTGCTGACTCACCAACATGTTATTTGACATATCGGACTTTCAAGACCGATGAACTAAGAATTTTTAGAAAGACATGGTGTGTTACTGTCTGTATGAATTTTGCTAAATACACCTGTTTTGCAAATGTCAAAGTAAAACTGTAATAGGAATAATAAATTGATTAAATAAAAAAAAAAGTAGTTTCCAAGAATGCTATTCAACAGTAAATATTAAGCCAGTAGTCATGTTTCTGGTTTCTAATACCCTTTGATGAACAGCAGAATTTCTGAATTTCTGTTGCTTTGGTTACCCTTTAAATCATTGCCTATGAGATTTTCATGAGATTATAGTGAACAGTTGCTTTTAAGCAATATTTAATATTTTTTTACTTTGACATTTAAGTTTATGCATTTCTAAAACTGCACTATTTGAGAATTAATAAGCAAACTTATCCAAATCAATAAAACACATAGTACAAATCAGATTTTTCAATAGTCATTAAATCATTTTAAGAAGTATAAAAGTGAATTTTCTGATCAAGTTGATTTTAATCTTGGGCACATCTACTTTCGTTATGGCACATCAGTGCCACCTGTAGAAATCAACTTCAAAGAAGAGACATCAGCTTCAATGAGTTTAGCTTGATGTCTCTCCACTTCTCAGCTCAACCTTTCACATATCCAAATTGCTTCTTTTCATCACCAAGCAATTTGTGAAAAAATACAATTTTTCTAAATTTGGAGCTCAGTATAATCAGTTTCTCATGCATCCTTTCTGCAACTTAGCTGTAAAATGTACTTTTTTTTTTTTTTAAACTGCGTATCACGTTAGTCCCTCATCATGGAGTGTTGCTTTGATTCTTTCATGCATGTTTCAAAAATCCTTGAATCTCTTGTGGCAACCATTTGGGATTGCCTATACCTTCTTTCTCTCCAAGTTTCTTACTCCCATCTCATATTGAGGCACTCGACTTAACTTCTTCAAATTAGCGACTGCAGCAATTACACACCTAGTGGAGCTTGTGATATTATTGTAACCGTTTCTGAATCCAATACTCTGAAGAACATTTGTAAACAGATTAATGTTGAAATGTGCTGAAGGTAGTGTTTGAAAGAGCAGCTTCTTAAAGAGACAGAGGCCCAATTACAAGACATTAAATTGCAAGGTAAAATTTCTTTTAAGTCATGTTTGATATATACATTATTTTTATAACAACTGAAGGTTACATAATTAATTGATTCTATTTTAAAGTGGTACTATCATCCTGGAAAACACAATACTACCTCTTTTTTATTGCCTGTACTATTACACTGTACACTATTTTCTAATGGGATACTTTAGAAATAAAATATTCATAATTCATTTGAAAACCTTGTGTCTTGAAAATCTACAAGTAGAAACAATATTTTCTACTGAAAAGAAAGGAAGTCCCTCTCTCCCCCAGCAACTTCAACATAATGGGGTGCTGTGGTGGTGCAAGGGTTAACCCTCAAATGGAGGTCTTAGTCCTCAATGGGGTTGTCACAGAATTGATTCGAGACCCGGCGAAGTTAGTCTTTCCCTTTCTAGTGAATTGACATCCCTGTCAATTCACTATCAAAGGCCAAAAAAACCCTTTAACATAATAGATTTAATTTTGTTAGAAGCACTGTATTGGTGTTGCTAAGCAAAAAATGATTTGTTGTGGGTCAATCAACTGTCGTGCAAAGATTGGATGCTCGCAGTTATTCTATTATCACTTCAGCGAAGACTGTGCTTGTTATCCCAAGGAAATCCACTGCCACTGTGTGTTTGTTAAAACATTGTGTAAGAGATGTCTCCAGGGTCAGTTAGAAATCATTTCTTAACATTACTGTGCAGTTATGCTTCACTGGAAGCTTTGCTTTCAGATAATGCTCTGCTATTTTCATATTTCACTTGCTTCATGAACAAACATAACTCAATCTGAAAACATGTTTATTCAACTTTTAAAAAGACAAATATAAAACCAAATCAAGGGAAAGAAAACCTCTCAGTAATTAAAAGACAATACAGTTCAATTTTTGGGAAATTCTGGCTTCCAAGGGAGCTTCTCTGATAGGTTCCTCAGTGTACCCCACATCATCCTTAAGATCTGTGAATGAAAAAACAGCAGTACAGACAAGGACATTTTGGAGGGTTCTTAAGGAGTGAAATAATCATTTAACACCTAACAGTGACAACATGATACTATGACGCTGAACAAAAGCACAAAATAATCCCTTCAAAATAGTTCAGAATGTTTTTTCATTCAATTGTAGCTGAAATACTGTAAAACTGTGAGACAATAGCTGAAAAGGCTTTAAAGGCTTCACTGTAATTGCTCATTTATTGGCATTTTTGTATTCCCTGGCAGCCATGTCCACACACAAAGGGAAGGATCTCCACAGAGAAAATATAAAATATAAAAAAGGAATACTTACAAGTGCCCAGTTTCACACAAATTTCCTCTTTACGGTTTACAAATCATATTTCACAAATACAGCTATCCAAAATAATACACAAAGATGCTAACAGATTACAAATCCAGAATTACACACACACACAGATATTTTGAGACTATTTTCACTCCATAAAATTGAAATGGAAAAAAGTGAAATTTCTTTTATAAAATATTAAGCTATTAACCAGATTATCAGTGTAAAGAAGCTACGACCAGACAAAGGAACAGTTACATTTTGATAGGTCAAAAATTCAGTGACAACCCCATTTCAGAAATTATGAGGCTTGTTGGAACAACAAACATTTGTTCTGTTGCACTGTATTACAGACATTCATCCCTTCTGAAGACTTGAATGAAAGCAAAAGCTGTGTTTTGGTTTCAATAATGTGTCGAGTCACTCTAACCTTCCTACTCCTGTGTCTCCATGCTCTCATCTTCTCCATCTCCTCCTTCTTCCAGGCCTTCATCCTCTTCTTCTTTTCTTTCTGGGGGTTTCTCATACGCCTTTTCAGATGGAGTGACAATTACTCCATCCCATGTAGACATTTCTATGGCCAAGTCTGGGAAAGAACAGTTTAGACTTCATCTTTTGTTTAGATTTGTGACTAAACATGAAATATTCAATTGATTATCTGAAATAAGAAGTAAAGAAAAGCAACTGGAAAATACTAGAGATTTTAACAAAAGTCATCCTGAACCCAGGGCAATATCACTATATGGCCCACTATTTGGTTAATAATAGGCCATTGATTGATTTCTAACTATTGCTTTGCTTTCTTTTTGATGGATATCTATAAAAGTTCTTCTTTAATTAATAGTTTGAAATCAATATGTTCTAATTTTCTTTGTGAAATTCATAAGCATGAAATTTTACTTTTGAGTAACATTTATTTTGGCAACTTCACTTGTATTTTACTCAAGTGCTTTATTTTGGTATTCTTTTCACCTCTGCAGCCATCTCAAGATCCTGAGCAGCTTTTAAAGATGTGGTGAAAATATTAGAAAGCACTGACAGAGCAGTAAGGCTGTAGTAAGTTTCATATGCTTACAGAACCTTTGCACAAAATATGTTCTGGTTTGCCTATGGGTAATTCTAAATAAAAATTAACAAACAATTCCAACTGAAAGATGATTACTAATGGTCTGTTTAAAATCTGAAATCCTTGTTTTTAGAAGGCAGTAAAGAAAAGCCATTTTCTTACAGCTGGCATCTCCCTCCATGCCAAGGATCTTTCTGTATCCTCCATGAGAAAGTACCCTCACTAATGTCTGGGCAGTGAAACACACCATGTCCTAAAGAAAAACAAAAAAAACAACAGGTTGTCATGCTTCAGTTCTTACTTCTGTTCAGCTGCTTTGTGTCTATAACCACTCATGTGGCAAGTTTTTTTAAATATAGGATTCAGATAAATATCTTGAAAATAGAAAAAATAAATTAAGAATAACAATAAATATTGACCAACACCATGGTTGTCCCACAATAATCCACAGAGCCAAGCATTTACCTGCTGTTCCAGTGTCATGACTGTATGCACCCTAAAGTTCCCACTTTCACAGGGGTCAGTAATTCCCACAGAGCCAGGAAGAAAGAGACCAGCAGCCAACATCTGAAGGCAACGCCTAAACAAATTCAGAACAATGTTTCTATTTAGCCAGAGTAGTGTGTGCAGATTTTGAGAAGCATGCACATATTTGTTAAAAAGTATGTCAGTACTGTCAACAAATCCACATAGGGGGCAGCAGATTCTCATTTGAAAGTATGATCAGCATGCAGTGCTCATGAAGTGCATAGATACGTGTGTCATAGAAGTGGGAAAATACTTTTGCAACTAGTAATCAGGAAGATCCTTTATACTGAGATTTGCACTGTTCCTCGTGTAGGTCCAGCAGTGAAAGTATGAAAACTTTCTGATGTAAAGGCAAACATATATCTCAAAACAAAACTAAGATTGGATACCTTACTTTCTTGCCAACATTTTAAATTAAAAATCACACATTGCTCCACATATTGGCATCCTGTCAAAGAAAGAATACTGTTTCACAATTCTACGACACAAAGGCTAGCTAATCAGCAGTTTTTGGAAATGTGTTTCTATAAAGTTACTATAAACTATAAAGTTTTACTAACTTTACAGTATTAAGAGCTGTAATAATTCCTCGAATGCCTCAAGTACTGCAATTATTAAAATTCCTCAAGTCAAGTCAAAGTTTATTTATATTATTTACAACAGCCTCAGCTGACCAAAGTGAATCACAACAAACATAATAAAAAGATAAATAATAAAATTAAGCTAGGGGTTAGGGTTGTTAAAATAATAAGACAAATATAAAGTTGGCAAAAACACCAAAAGCTAATAGTATCAATAATAACCAAACAATACCTAAATTTTAGCTGGAGTAATTTTCTTCCATTCTCTAAGGAAAATTACCTACCTCAAAGTTTTGTTAAATTGTTTCATTATTTAAGCACACCGTGTCTGGGGCCGGTGATTACTTCTGTTGCGTAACTCCTCTCACTTCTGCCTATGAGTTGTTGACGAAAGCTAAGTGCTAGTAGCATAAAGTTACATTTTTAAGTTTGGTCCAGGAGTATTTCATTAAATTCTGATAATGCCTGGGTTTTTGTCGTTTTTCAGGGGATCAATAAGCATCCTTAAATGTATGGCAGCCTGTTTCCTCCTGGAGTTGCTACCTGGTGGTCAGTTCAGAGCGAACAGCGAAGAAGATTGCAGTATTTATACAGGTGAGCGGATAAACTAAACATAAGGGGCTACTGCGCAGTAGTTGATGCTTAATGTAAGTATGAAGGTCGCTGGTTTCAGCATTCAGTTTGCCACTTACTGCCCAGATCGACTCAAAATCTTCCTGTGATCGGCGTTCAGACCACTCCTGATTTTAAGGGATACGAGGTAGACACATATGACCCACTGGTGATAACTTACATAACGTCTTGTACTATATGCTCCCCACGGAATTTGACACTTATATGAACAATTTTCTGTTCCTATTACTACCTGGACATGTTTTAAATATAATTTGAAAATGCTTAAAAAGTGGTGGGAGGTGTAATTAAAAACAGACCTGTAGGCTACATTCAGAGACAGAGGTTGCCTGGATGGGTTGTTCATCACAGCAGAATGACCCTGGAACACAATCAACATAACATTGCCAACATAAATATGGAGGAGTGTCTTAGTGCTGTCAATCAATCCCATGTATGCGTTGTTCAGTGTGCCTATGACCTAAGCATTTCAGTTAAATATCACACATTGCTCCACATACTGGTTTCCTGTCAAAGAATGAATCTTGTTTCATAAATGCATGGAACAATGACACCAACTTTGCATTGTGTGTTTTCACAATTCTCTTGTGCAAACTGCTTATCTGCTGTCACCAGAGACCATGCTAACTAGCCTGAGCATTTCCAAAAGGCTCTGGAGAAGTTGTAGCAAAGCAGAGAGCCAACGGAATCTGTGTGCAGCACATACACAATCTTGCAAAAGATCCTTGTTCTGAGGTACACTGGAGGCTATCCTTCTCCTAGCCAGGAAAAGGGTCTAAAATTCTTCTCCTGGCTATGATTGCTCGTTTCTGACCAAGTTGTGTATTTTTGTTGTTAGCACTGGGAAAAATGGGAGAATGCAAAGGAGCTTACTTTTTTCACAGATTATGTCTCGTACTATGTTGTCACAATATAGTGACAGTTTCAAAAATACATATGAAAATTATCATAAAACTTGCACACTGCAACTTCAAGAGTAGGTGATAATGTTCTGTTTCAAGTTTTTTTTTTTATGTGAAGGAAGAGGAAGGTGTCTTTCTACAAAAAAACAAAAAAAACAAACTCAAACAGAAGTTTGCTGACTAACGGACGGATGGTTGCTTTACAGTTGACGTCAACCTGGGGTAACTGAAAAAGATTCTCAATATAAACAACTAAGTAGAAACAAACACATACAAGTCAAATGAAAGCCCAACAGAGTTTTAACAACAGCATGCTAATGCATTTGTACTGCAAAGATTGAATAACAGCTAGATCTTCAACAAGTGATGTCCTCCTCCATCACTTGAAGCAGACTTAAGCCCAGTTCACACTACACGATTTTAGAAAAGTCGGCCGATTCTGAAAACGTAAAAGACCACACACTAGCCGATTTAAAATCGTAGGTGTAACGGGTTCGATCGTAGAGTGTGAGGTTTCACTCGAACACATTCTAATTCCAGATACGAAATCTCTTAAAATGTAAATTCTGCGCTACCACACCTGAATTTAGAGTAAACAAACAAACATGGACAACGACTTTAAGTGGTAACTTTTAGTTTGCGGACTTATGTTAACCCAAAAAAGACGTAACCAAAAATCAAAGCTTTGGATTAAGAACTGGAGACATCACGAACAAGGGTTATATTTGTTGCATCGCAACATGGAGGTGAGGTTTTTTATCTTTTTTTCATAAAAAATACTGTTTTTAATGTTTTCGGTTTGGTCGTTTAATTAACCATTTACGTATAATTTTATAATTTTTTGCTGTGCTTATGTTGTAGAATATATGCATATACTGTACCTAGTTTCAGAAAACAGAATGACTGAAACATCAGAGTAGCTTAAAGAAGAAGAAAAAATATTCTTTTTTAGAAAATCAGATGGCAGTTATCTTTTTTCCCCCAACTGACCGCAATGAGCCAATATGATTAAACACGTTCAATATCAAAGCGGTCCCGACGTTCCACCGACTGGACCCGATCGGTCGTAACACACCACACACTACAGGATGATCGGTTACGATTGTTGGAAGCGACAATCTTAGAACTCAGAATGTTCTAAGATTGTCTTAAGGGCAAAATCAGGGCAAAAAATTGTGTAGTGTGAACTGGGCTTTAAGCACAATAGCTTAAGTCAGCAAAGAGTTCCGTGTTTTCACAAGTCAACATTTCACAAAACACTTTACTAATTGACATGTTTAGAAAAATACAGTTTATAAAACGTCAGATCAATGGAACTTACGAGTAGGTCCAGAATCCATGGAGTCAGAGGCTCAAAACCAGGGAAACGAGCCCTTAGATCTTTCAGGAGGCGGATCAATACCTTGACTCTAAGGATTAGAAATGAAATAGCAAAGTTCAAGTGATTGTAATTGTAATGCAGAAGCCAGAATAGAAAAAAGAGCCGTGATGTGTGTTCACAGAAATTTTCTTACGTTGACTGAGAAGCATTCTCTTCAAACCAGCGCGCATGGCGGATTGCAGCAAGGGCACTCTGTAGCACCTTGATGTCCACTAACATATAAAACATTTGATTTTTATTGAAGAGTACATCCAACCTGCTTCAACAGCCAACATTTGAAATTTTCTTGAGATTTATAACACTTCTGTCTTTTAAGTCTGTCAGAACATTGTGTATGGCATCATAAATTTAAAATGGAAAAATATGTTTACCAATATAAAATATAATTCCAACAGCTGTACTGTGTAAAAATATCATACGCTATTTTTTTTCTTAAAATTTATAGAAACATTCAGATGTCACCAACTTTCCTTAAGAAAATTATATTTAAACATTTTCGAAATTTTTTTATAGAACAATGTGTCAATCATTCATTCCATCTGCCACATCACAAAGTGGTCATCCCTTGAGACATGTGTTAGACATGCGCATGATGTAATTGGTCCTACAGTGCAGTTCTGGGTCAAGTTTGCGGAGATTCGGTGGTACAGTGGTGATGAGAATCTTAACAGTGGCATCAGCTGAACTAATCTCAAAGCCCGTCTCATTGGTCAGCATGGACAGCACTGAAAATAGACATGCACAGGACATTTAGGGTATGAATCAATTTCACAGTTAATTTAAAATTAATCCTGGATAAAAAAAAAAATCAATAAGAAATTAAGTGATGTAAAAATAATTAGGAATACCATCTATATTCAATATTGTACAAAACAGTAGAAGTTCCTGCATTCTATTTGCAATTTCCCTGTAATAGCAAATAACATCATTATTTATAGTTCTCAAGCCATTTAAAGTAGAACTGGATTGTATGTTCCATATTTAGAAGGAAATATTCACATTTAACATTGATATACACAGGAATCTTACTTTTCCCTAAAGGTCATGAACACAAAAACATCAGTAGAAACAATTAAGTAATCCAACAAGAATTAACAAGAGTGTTAAGGTAGAGGTGTTACAACAAATCTACACATGTAGAGGGCTTAATTGCAAAGAAAAAAAGATTGAGGGGGTTATTGTTAACCAAAGAGTTTAAATAATCAGGACTATTTTGCAGAATCACACTGGAGGAGAGAGATATCAAATTGTTTAAATTTGAATCAGTTTTCAGAAATGGTCTGTCAGGTCACATCTGCTAGTCATATAAGAAATGTTTGCGAACTCTAACCAAAAGAACTATCTGGGTTACATGTACGAGGTTGAAAATTTTAATTATTAAATTTAATAATTTAATTATTAAAATAATTAAATTATTTTAATTTCTTTCTTAGACAGGAACCCAGTTCCTCCATTATTATTATTATTATCATCATCATCATCATCGTCACAGTTCTGATTACAGACACTCTCAGTGAGTGCTGGTTGGAGACATCCTCAAAGGAAGCGGATCCAAGTGGAAAACCATGCAGCTGTGGTTTCCCACAGCTGCATGGGGACCTTGTTTTTTCATTCATGTTTTTCTTTCCTTATCATTGTATAAAACTTACATGTCGTCTCAGGCTGGAAGAGTTTGGCAAGCTTTGCATCCAGACTGGCTTGATTATTGTCTTACGAGCTCTCTGTGCACAATTCATGAGTGATTCTACCTGGACAGTGCTTGGGAATACTTTTTTTCCATGATAGTCAGATAATCTTAAAACAAGTCAGAAAACTCAGAACATTGTTGGGCAGCTAAAGCTGATAAGAGACATCAAGCACCAAACGGAAAATCTGAAGTCATGAGCAAGGAGCCAACTTTGTCTACAGATTTATAAAGAATTAATGACCAACCAGTTCCAGTGGTGAACTTTGTTTCTGTTCATTCCCCCAGGAAAAGTCTAATTATTCTGCTTTGCAAAACAGCTTTTATTCTGATTTCTTTCTAACCGTATTTAATGTAATTGTAAATGACCAATATTGTTTTAAATGTTGACAATTAATTTCCAAGCAGGACCGTGATGCATTTATATGCAACCAAAAGCAGATGCTTATAAACGATTATTGCATTGTGGTTAAAAGTCTGGTGTTTCATAACTCAGCTCAATTGTGCATTTTTTCTCCGTTTAGATGTTGTTGTGTTTTCTTTTTAAATCATTGATCATTTTGTGTTCTGGTCCGTATAATAGCTGGAAGAAGGTATTTGCAAGGAAACAACTGTTAAATGATTCTTTGTAATGTTATACTGTGCTATATCTATTAGAACCTAATGTGTTATAAAACAAAATGTCTGTATACATGTTTGACAAATTGAAGTGAATTTGTAGAGTGGTTTCATTATAGTAAAATTCATTTTTGACCTATGGCCTCTTTTTTTTTTTAACATGTATTTGTTTATCTTGAAGTTACTTTTATTTTAAATTTATTGTGCGACATCTGTATGGTTTGTATTTTTGTTGTCAATGTTGGATGTCAGGACCTCAGGAAGAGTAGATACAGCTAATAGAAATCCAAATTAAAGAAAGAAGGAAAGACTGTGAGCAGATTTTTAGTAACATGAATATATCACATTTTTTCTTAAATTATTGGTTACTGGATTTTTTGTTTTTCTGCCATTGTATTCACAGGTGTAATCTACATAATGAACTTTGTTTTTAAGCCATGCTGGTTGAAATGTATTGCAACTGTTGGACAAAACTGGGAACATAGCTGATAGATGCAAGGTTTGTTTTTTATGTCTTTCTGTTTTTGAAGAAGTCTGAATCACGGTTTGCCATCACATTACAAGATTGGAGGTTTTAGATGATAAGTAACTTTAATATCACAATGTTTATTAACCAGTGGTTTTAAAATGTATTAAACCCACAACTTTATGGAAAAGCCTTTGAAAGCACTGTTACAACCCTCTCAGTCTTTTCCACTGACTTTACCTTCTGTGGGGTCCTGGGTGCGAAGGGTCTCCACAACTTTGTTTCCAAGAGCAGCTACTGCCTCCACTGTTAAAGATTAATACACACATATTACTAAATTACCAATGGCTTTCCATAAAAACTCTTGATTACCATATGGCAATGATTAAAAGTTTGTATTAAGACATTTTCAGACTGAACTTATGGAACTAAATTGCTCAAAAGAAAGCAATTTAGTGAGCATACCACAACATTTGTAAGTGTACAACATGGGTAAGCATGAAACATGTAAAACAGAGAAATTGTTTATACATGTGAATGTTTAGGAATGTAGTTATGCATTGTTTCATTCACATTTGTGAATTATGTTGTACATTTTGTGAATCTTTTTGAGACAAACTTCCATATGAACTGATCTCTCATCGCTTTTTCTCTACACACGTCAGTGGCTGTAACCAGTACAATGTTAGCTCATCAGTAAGCTTAAAGCCATTGCCTCAGGGTTCATACACATTTTTCTTGTCAAATTCCATACTTTTCCAGAGCTTATTCGTTAACAGAGAAATAATTGGATGGAAAAATATAACATTTAGACAATGGGATAAGGAATATACCGTAATTTCCGGACTATAAGCTGCGACTTTTGACACATGCTTTCAACCCTGAGGCTTATGCAATGATGCGGCTAATTTATGCATTTTTTTCTAACGGCTGCCAGGAGCGCTCGAGCAGAAAAGGTAAGAGTGAGACAGGTAGAATACATGTGTCGAGGAAGACGCAAGTTTAATGTAACTTTGCGCTGTGTGCATGAATAAAATAAACAGACCCTCATCATGGAAAATGCAAGAAGAAATGCATATGAGTCAGCTTTCAAGTTAAAAGCAATCGAGCTGGCCGATAAAGAACAACGAAAGAGAGACTGAGAGAGTGTGTGGCGAAGAATATCTGACGCTATTTCAATCCGACACTGAGGAGGAAGACTTCCATGGTTTCAGTGCACAGGAGGAAGATGAAGACGGCTCTCAGTGACTTTTACCGGTATGTTTTTTTTAACCAGCCCTGTTAATGCTGTGCTACCATGTTGCTGCTATGTTACTGCCGCGTGACAGGCACTGTTTGGAAAGAAAAGCTGCGGTATATTATTAAAACTTTGAAAACTCTTTCTGTGTACCGTTTTTCTTTGTAAATATCTCATGTTTCAATGTAGGCACATGCAGCTAATAGACAGGTTTGGCTTATGTATGTACAAAATGGTTTTTCCTTTAAAAATGTACTGGGTGCGGCTTATAATCAGGTGCGCTTTATAGTCCGGAAATTACAGTAGTATGGAAATACAAATATTTTTCCAAAGACATCCAAAGACTTGAAAAATACATAGTGATAATCAAACTGCACCTTGCAGCCTTAATGACTCAAGGGTAACACTGGAGAAGTGATATATACTGAATAAGCAACAAAGACAGCTTAAGTTCCTTCACTATAACCTTTACTCACATGTTGGGAGGATCTTTAGGATGACAACCAAGTCAGCAACATTATGTCCTGTCGTCATAGTGCCCTTCTTGTATGAGCCAACCTGACGGACCTCTTCAATTTGCTATAAAGTGTTGCACAGGAATTTTATTTTTTGTTTGTCAGAAAAGTATGCTTACTTTTTGCAAAAATTAATGCTCTACATATAAGATGTGTTACTTACCACTTCGAAGTTCCCAGGTGCTACAATCAGGTTGTCGATGACATTATTGATCTTTGTGACTAAAGATAAGATGGAGGACTAAGAGATACAAAAAAGGAAGACAGTCAGATTATCAGAGAGCACGATGTCTGATTAAAAAATTTGATAGTACGTTGACGGGGGCAGACCTGCTCTGCAGGTGTGGGGCTCAGGTCCTGGTTTCTCTTCAGGAGACATTCGCTGAAAGCAGTTTCATCAGGCATAGGCTTTACTCTGGGAAATGCCATCTCACACTGGTGCCAAACAGAAACCTGCTTCAGTACTTACGGGTGCTGATCAATGTTTATATTTCACTAATAGCTTATTGTAATTGTTGGAAAAGACAGTTATTGTGAGATTAATGGTGATAATTGTGTAACATGATGCAATATGGTATTACAGTAGGTCATTAAGACCTTAGAACCCATTCACATTTAAAAAACTAGCTTTGCAATCTACATATTCTGTGCAGTTATGGCATTTCCATCACTTACCACATAAAAATCAAATGGGATGTGTGGGACAAATGGCCGATATCTAAATAGTAAAAAAAGAAAGTAAGAAAACATTAGCAGTTCTACATTTGCTGTAGAAGTAAACATCAGACCAAATATTTCAAAGGCCAAAGAGACAGCAAACTCAAATTGTGGCAGTGGCAGCTAGTAGTGGACCTTCTAGAGTCAGATTGAATATTAATGTTTATTTACAAAAAATAAATCAATGAAAAAAGAAAATCTAAAAATTAAAAAAAAGAAAACAAGAATACATATAGACGGATTTTATCATAGATGTTTCTTTTTTTCTTTATCAAGTTATCTACAATGCAGTAAACATCAAATCATCCTGCAATGAAATATTCCCACCATCAAGTTTGCAACTTCTACACTCTTTGGCCCGTAAACTTTCCTATGCAAACTTGTTACATCTGATCAGTGCACCGTTTCTAATATAGTTATAATGTACACATTTCTTATTTAACAACACACTCACCCCTGAACCAATCCTCCACGGCCCCCAAAGCGGCCCCCTCGGCCTCTGCCGCGGTCTCCTCTGCATATTAACACAGAAACATATTAGATAATCCACATGCAGCTAATGTTAAGACTACTAGGACGAAACGTTGGCAGTGCATTTTGAAAAATGGTTACTTTTAGTAAAAAAATAAAACGGACAATTCATTAGTTCGTATAAAAGCTGTCGTATTTTTAACAGGCACTGCGTGAATTCTAAAAGGATGTCAATAACTACAGATACCCATTGCACACAATAGGCCGGCGGATCAAGGTTCAGTGAAGAATTGATTCTTTTCTTTGGAGTAATTCTAGGTTAATGCTGCTTCATATATTTGTTACAGCGCTCGCTTCAAATTAGACTCCAGCTGCGCAAGCTAAACCAAGCTAGGCTACTAAGGCATAATCACCTATATCAGTAAACAAACTGCTCCTAAGGCATGAAATGTACCGAACAGAATTTAATCATAATTACCTCATTGCGTACGACGTTTTGAATATTGTAGTAAAATATAACGAGAGAACTGGTATAAACCAATTTTATGGTTGAAGCTACCACAGCACCCAATGCGCTACTGGTACACAACGAGTTCCGATCTCTTCTTTTTGTTTAATGGCTGTTGGCAAAGCAACGTTTTCGGCCATTACCGCCACCTACTGGAATTGAGCAAGTATCGAGGTCTTTCTCGAATTGGGTGTGGATCGGGTGTCTAGATACTAATTATATTTGTGAAATAGACAAAAATTGATATTCTTCCCATTCATTTCGTCTTTTGAAGGTACTTCAACAAAAAGAATAATATCCTGAACTGAAAACTTTGTTCTAAAGGTCTTGCATGTCCAGCTGCAATTTGTTGTCTCCACCGTATACTGGGAGCAAACAACATATGCCCCACTGTCTCAATGTAACATTAAAATTTGGAAGTACAGAAGAGAGTATCGAAAATAACAGAAATAAAAACAAAAGCAGGAATACATAAATGGCACATTAAATAAATACATCTAAAATGCTCCAATTAATTTGAAAAAGGAGTGCTTCACCATACTTTTTAGACACTGTAGCTGACTTTCATATTTATTTTTTCAGTTTAGTTCAAACAAATTATATACTTAAACACATACTATAAATAAAAAAAGTTTTTAAAATTATATTTTTATGTTTTTCCTTAGACATGTTTATCCATTATATTTAGTTTTCTTCCCACGTGTCATTTATTTTCATTTGTTCTTTTTGATTTTTCTGTCTCCTCTTTTTACACGAAGTATGCATTTCTGCCTCGTTATCCAAATGAGGAGGGTGATGTCATAAGCCTTCAACGTCACTTATTGGTTGATTAGTTTCTGCCCTAACACTCAAAGTGCCCTTTATTAAATTTATTCTTTTTTTTTCTTAAATTGAAATGTTTTTATCTGTGCAAGAATTTAATAAAATAAATTAGTCTGGCTGCCCTCAAGCTAGGCTACTAAGCTTGAGGGCAGCTAATAATAACTGAACAATTCTTAGTGCCTCTGTCTCCGGATTCATGGATTGCACAGAAAGTTAGAACACCTGTTCCATGGTAAGGAGGGGGACAGAACTCTGTCCCCTCCTCCTATGAGCAAGATTTTTTTTTTCAATATAGCTTGGCTTGTGAATAAAAACATAGGTCTGATACTGAAGTTAGAAAATTTTCTATTTATTTATGGTAATTGTCTTTGCAATGGTGGAAAATCCTCCTTGACCCAAACACAGACCCTGTCCCAATATTTGCACTTCCACCCTCAAGTCCTTCAAATTTATGCTGAAAGTTTTCAGTGTGGAGTGTGCCCACATTGTCCACATCCGGCCTTCGCCTCGCCCGTACTATTTCCGCCCTTACATGAAGTCCGTATTTTTTTGGACTTTGTGGAAGTTTTTTACCCATTATATTTTCTCTATTATCCCTCTATTATCCCACAATTTATTGCTGCATGTGGCGTTCTGAGTAAAAAGGCGGATTAATGGCAATGTTTCACTGTTTCCCCCCCCCCAGTCTTTACAAAAAATTAAAAGAAAATAGCATGACAAATTATTAATAAAGAAAGTTTTATATGATAAACTGAGAAGAAAACATAAATAAATAAAATCATCACAAACTAACTGTGAGGAATATAAAACAAAATGTCAGAAATGTAAGAAAAATTTTAAATCTTAAATTAAGATATTAACATATTAGTATTGGGTTTTTGTGATGTTGCAACGTTTAAGCACTCTCTTAATATTCCACTTTAAAAATGGAAGTGATTTTTAGAAAGCAGTATTTGTAAATAAAACTTAGCCAGAGGATTACATTGTAAATACAAATTAACTCTTACTTCCCCTGTTAGACCAAATTTTATGATATTAAAACTTAAAGATGGAATAGATTCTGTTGTGAAAAACCATCATGTATTCCAAACCCGATACACCAAAAACTTGCAAGCGCACGAGCAGCAAATCAGCCAACACAAAGCAATCAGACTTTACGCTTTTTATTCTTTTTTAGCGCTAAAAAAAGACGCTTACCATCACAGACTAGAAGTGAAAACCAGGGGGCCCCAAGTCTATACAGAATGTGTTTAAAAACAGGAAGATTCGTTGCTTATGATCTAAGAACACGCCCAGTGGTCATCCGATGTCCTGCGTCACCTAAATCTCTATTTCCTTGGAGACGGGAGTGAGGAGATGATTCAGTTTCTGTATCTGTTACAAATACAAAGGCCTTTGTGTGAAAGTATGAGAGTGTAATGTGTGTAGAAGCATATGTGTGTATTTGACCTTGGTAAGCGCCTCAACAACTCCCCCTTTTGGTCTCAAAGAGACCACACAAATTAAGAGGGCTCTCCATCCTGAGTAGACATTGCCCCTATCTGGAAACATCCCCCGAGGCTCATTACAGATGTTGACTCGTCTTCTAACTTTGCTGTTGTCTTTCGTGTCATTTCATTTCCATTTGTTGGGGGTAAAACAGATAGAGCACCCCACGCCTCCGAAGGCGGCGGATCGAAATCACAATGTCCCTCTTACAGGCTAAACAATAACATAAAAAAAAAAATGTTAAAGGACGTTTAATTGTTAGAAGAAAATGTGAGTGTTGATGAACTATAAACGAGTGCATTTTTTCAAATAATATGTGAATGTTAATAAACTGTGACATTAAAAAAATGTTAAAAATGAGTAATGGTTATATAAATGTTAAAACAGTCTTTGAAATTGCTGATAACATTTAAAAATCTATTAGTAAAATGTTAAAGAATAATAAAATGTACAGTGAGCAAAATGTTAAGGTAATACTGTAAATCTCAACAAAATATAAGCCGAATAATTGTTACTAAAATGCAAAATGCCTAAAGTGTTAGGTAATAGATTCAATAAACCAAAAGTTAATAAGATAAACTTTAATATGAAGAAATGTTAGACAATACTTAAAAAGAGAAAATGCAAACAACGAAATGTGAAGATCTCAGGCTTCAGTGTGACGTTTCAGCTGTAAATTGGTACGTCAATCACGGAAGGCGCCTACAGTCTCACATCTCGGCACACCCAGAAAAGATTAGACTTTATTCACTAAACACTGAAAAGTTGAAGTTCCACGGTCATTTTACGTCCAGGGGGTTGGACTCCCCGGACTGCTCCTGCATGGTTTTACTCACGGCCTTCAGTCCTACCAGCGTCTTGGTCACCGTTCCATCAGACACTGTGTGATTTGGCACAAAGACACAACAGAGACCTCCAAAAATAGCACAAACCTTCAATTGCATCTCTAGTTAAATTAGTTAAGCTCAGCACATTATAATGAATATAATTGATTCTGTCTACATGTTTGTTGGGTGTTATGCATAGGAAAATACTCTCAAAACCTGCAGCAACCTGGTCCACTAGTTTGTATTGGTCTGGAACTTACCGGGCAGGAACACCGATGCTGTCAATATAAGTGGATGAATTTGTGGTAAAATCAAATGCGCTGCGCTTTACTCGTGAGGAGATGCTGTCAATCAGGGGTTGTTGTTCTCCTATCATTATGACATGGGCTCATGTCATAATGGTAGGGGTTTGTGCACAAACGCACAAACCCCAAACATCAGATCGAATCAAAGGAGCGGGCTCAGTATACATTCTAGGTCGTCCAGCTGCGCAGGCCACACAATTAGACATTTGGTATTGTCGCACTGTTGCAGTGAACCAGTTTAATCACAAATTGGTTCCCGTATAACCTGTTGCTAACATGATCACATCAGCAGGAGTCAATTTGGAGTAGTCAAAAATTAGCACACCCCCAGTCTTTTTATCTAAAAAGGCAGTCTTGATTTCAGGTTCATTGTTTGGTTGTGTCAGGAGGTTAATTTGAATCACTTTTAGGGGGTCTTCCCCGCTTGCCTCAACTCCGAGCACCATGCGCATTCTGCTAGGGTTGCCATCATGTAGTGACTTCTGCACACCATGCAGTGATAAAAGGAGTGGATTCTCTGTGGGTGTTCTGGGACCTGGAAAGCTTTGTCCGGTGGTGAGCTCAAATGGTGTCAGTCCCGTCCTGGAGTTGATTGAACACCTGATGGACATCAGAGCCCGAGGTAATGCATCAACCTAATTCAATTTTGTTTGTGCACAAACCTTAGCCAATTTTGTTTTCAAGTTCTGGTTCATTCTTTCCACTTTTCCTTGAGATTGTGGGCGGTACACTGTTCCAAACCTGTGTTTTAGACCGAGGTGGGCCTCCACTGTTTGCAGGTCCTTGTTTTTAAAGTGGGTTCCATTGTCCAACCTGATTTTCTCTGGGAAACTGTGCCTGGGGATGTAATGGTTAATTAGACATTTTATAACTGTTTTACTGTCGTCTTTTGCTGCTGGCCAGGCTTCCTGTGAAAACAACAACTCAAACCAGCAAATATCTTTTGCCTTGCACTGTGTTCACCATGTCTGTGAAATCCAACACAATCTCTTTCCCTGGACATGTAAGTAGAGGAGACTGTCCCTGTTGGGGATAAAAAGTTTTCTCAGGGTTGAACTGTCCACACATTACACAATTTTTCACAAAATGTTTCACCATGTCGACCATGTAGGAGTGCCACCATTCTTTAAGGTTGTGCATCATCTGTTTAGTCTCCACATGTCCAAAAGCTCCTGTTTTTTCCCAGGGGGCAGAATTAACCTGCCATCTGGGCCCCTTCAGCATCTATTTGTTTCAATGACGCCCCTGTGCTTCCACATGTTTTTCTCTTCAAGCGACACCCCCTTTTGGCATCTTTTCATCTCTTCCAGTGTCAGTTTGTCTTTTAATTCCTCCTCCGAGAAACACATCATGGCCAAATCTGTGTGTCTGAAACAACTGTCTCACATCTGGTCCCATCAGAGGAGCTGCTTCCAGGTCTGGTCTTACCTTCTCTGTCTTTGCCACCAGCTCTGCACATTCGTGTGGTTCTCCTTCTGCAAAACAGTCTGCCTGTTTATGCCTTCATGTGTGAATGAAATGTTTGGAGCTTGGCTATCCCAACTGCATGTTGTGTGCAAGGGTGATGCCTTTTTCCCATGTTGTCCATCAGTACTTTTCTCTCTCCCCCTTTTTTCTGGAACAAAACTCCATTAACAGCCAGTTGTG